CCAGCGGAGTCTGTCAGGAGCTAGGCTCTCCCATAACAAACTATTTATGTTAAAGTCTTTCAGGGACATATTATGGTGTGTTTGTAGCGTGCATTTGATGCGCCAGCCTTCGTTCCCCAGGGATTCTGAAATCAGGCATTCTTACAACATGGCCAGCCCAGCGAAGTTGAGTCCATTTAATTTAGAAAACAGACGCTAGGCATTTGTCATTTTGGGAACTTCGGTGTCGGGTATTTTTTGTTCTGCTGTTCGATGCTAAGAATACTCTCTTGGCATTTCATGTGGAAACGATTACGTTTCTTGGCATGGCGTCGGGTCACCGTCCAGATCTCGGCACCATACAATAGAATAGGGAGGACCACAGCATTGTAGACTTTTAACCAAGTCTCTGCGAATGTCACAGCTGTCCCAAACCCTTGTACTGAGTCTTTCAAAGGATTCATTAGTTTTTTTAAATACGTAAATCTATTTCTGCATCGATGCGAGCGTTTGAAGACAGTGAAGGGGTAATAACACAGAGCCTTGCTTCACTCCAATTGTCACGTGAAAGGCTTCAGACATATCGCCATTGCTATTGTCACTGGCTTTCATGCTGTCATAACATTGGCGAACTATAGTAATGAGCTTTGGTGGGCAACTGTACTTCGCCAGGATTTTCCATATGCCTTTCCGACTAACGGTATCAAAGACCTTTGCTAGATAAACAAAGGACATACGGCATCTGCCTGACCGCAAATGTCATGTCTGCTGTGTACGTTTTGCTGCTAACGACACACTAGTATTCTCTTGAGGCATTTCAAGTGGAAATAATTAAGTTTCTCGGCATGGCTTTGTTGCACCGTCCAGATCGCGGCACCATTTGGAGAGAGATGCTTCAACAGGCTATACAGACTCCTATCAGCTTTTAGACAAGAAGGTTATACCCGTCTGTCTCAATAGTGCCTGTTATCTTTGTTTTTGCACAGGTGAATGCCGGTTGCATCCCTGTATCTCTGGGGAATACTTCCAGTTCCCCATAGTATCTCTCTCTTCTTCTACTTCCCGTTTCTCTGCCACCCCCCCTCTCTCTCTCTCTCTCTCTCTCTCTCTCTCTCTCTCTCTCTCTCTCTCTCTCTCTCTCTCTCTCGTTCGATCCCGTCTCTCCCTTCAGCTGTCCTCTATCTCTCTTACTCTCCATATATCTCTTTATCCCTCATCCCAGTTTTCTGTCTGTCTGTCTGTCTGTCTATTTCTCTCTCTCTTTCTCCCCCTCATCCCCCTACACTATCCCTTTCTCTCTTTCTCCCCCCCCCCCCCCCTGTCTGTCTCTCTCTCTGTCTCTCTGTCTCTCTCTGTCTCTCTCTCTCTTTTCTCCCACTCCGTCTTTCTGTCACTTTCTCTCTTTCTCTTTCACTCTGTCAACGTGTCTACTTATTGGAAAAATAATGATAATGTTGATAAAAAATAATAACAATAATAGCAACAATAACAACAGCAATAAAAAAAATAATAATAGTAATAATATCCGAGCAAAGGAATGAATGGAAAACCATGATCGCCGATGTCTGTCGCAGATCTGGCACTGGATGAGGATGAGTAATAATAATAATAATAATAATATTAATAATAACATCAACAACAATAGTTAAGATAATAATTCGTCCATCAACCTGTGATGACGACTAACGCATCCGTCTAGGAGAATCTTTCTTTATTTCTCAAGCGAGAAAGCGATGAATTTAAGGTTAATTAAGACGATTTGTGGCTCGTGCTATGGTCAATGAGTACAATTCTCGGCGAAAAACGTTTGCCATATTTCGAGCATTTAAAAGCTTCGTTTCCGCTCGTGGATGTGTTCAAGTTGTGGCTTCGCGCTTGGCTTCAGCATTTCGTATTCATCCTGAAAATATATATGACTTCCTGCCAACTGTGTTTGTTGCTCTCCAGCGGAGTCTGTCAGGAGCTAGGCTCTCCAATAACAAACTATTTATGTTAAAGTCTTTCAGGGACATATTATGGTGTGTTTGTAGCGTGCTTTTGGTGCGCCAGCCTTCGTTTCCCAGGGATTCTGAAATCAGGCATTCTTACAACATGGCCAGCCCAGCGAAGTTGAGTCCATTTAATTTAGAAAACAGACTCTCGTAGATCCTGTGAGAAAGCACCATATGTACAGAACATGTACACCTCTAACCGCTCGTGCCGTCCTTTGTAAACATGTCCCGCGCACAGCCAGGTTCTGACCTTTCACCCCGACTCATCCCAGAGACACACCCGCTATCGGAGATTGCCAACCCTTGGCCTTATTTCGTTAACTCTACGAGAACTGCCTGGAGAATGAAAGGGGAAGGGAGTTGTTTTTTTTCCTTCTTTTTTGAGGAGTTCGGGGTGGGGGAGAGGGTAAGAGGATAACCAATGGTTTGCCGTCTCAGTTTTTTGCTCAGTCGACAACATAAATATAAAATAAATAAATAAATAAATAAATAAATAAATATATATGTGAGGCAGCATAGTGGAATCAGGCTCTCGTCAATTTTTGGGCATGTAGAGTTATTGGTATCATCTTAAAACTTGTTCACTTGTCTTTATTTAGGTGAAAAAAATATCCATTTATCTCTTAATACAAGTCGAGATATTCGCGAAAGAAGGATGTGGGGGTCATTTGTTTTCAGAGGTAAAACTGGTGAAAAAATGGCCGTCAAAGATTAGTTATTTCCTAAGCTTAAGAGTCCGTGGTAACTGAAAATTTACTTTCTTTGTTCCTTTAATCAACGCTTTTTAGAAAAATCCACACAGAAATGAGTTTTTTCATGGGGATGAAAGGTGTTGAGCGAAGAGACAAAAATTTGATAAAATTTCACAAACCTGAGGAAAAATGCAAGTTTCTTCACTTTGATTATTTTGACGAGAGCCTGACTCCACCACGCTGCCTCACACACACACACACACACACACAAACAGACAGAAATACATACATACAGAAACAGACAGACAGACAGACAGAAATAAGGGAAAGAACTAAGTTTATCCATTTCCTTTTACAATGGATTTGCTATAGTTGCTATATACCGTATGATCTGCTGATGGTTCTATCTCTGGCACATAGCCCACTTCCAAATATTGGATTGTGTAAGGAAGGGGAAAGGGGGTTGATGAGGAGGGAGAGAGTACGAGAAAGAGAGAGAGAGAGAGAGAGAGAGAGAGAGAGAGAGAGAGAGAGAGAGAGAGAGAGAGGGAGAGGGAGAGAGAGAAAGAAAGAGAGAGAGGGAGAGAGAGAGAAAGAAAGAGAGAGAGAGAGAGAGAGAGAGAGAGAGAGAAAGAAAGAGAGAAAGAGAAACAGAGAGAGAAGGAGGGTCAAAGAGCTAGATCTCCAAGGATCGTGTTTAGGTGTAATGACAGTGAGATAGCCCCGAAAGTTTGCGTAATGCCAAACGTGATGGCGTCACGGCGTGTCACGTATTTACGACTAGCTGAGGGTCACGAGCGCCTAATTAGGACAAACTTGACCACTATAAATCTTGGTCAGTTACGATCAGTCTCTATCTCACTCCAAGATCTACAAGGTGAGTTTGAGGAAAGATAGCATCTTACGAGGACATGGTTAAGTCTGTTGGTGGTTGGTAGGTCTACATTGGTATTCCAAAGTTAGACAGTATTAGCTCTGATGCAAGCCTGAAAGTGTCTCTGAAGGTCTGAAGGTTTGAAGGTCTTCAACATAATAGTGTTATTATATCTTCCGACCTGGGAACCTTACTCATGACAGACCCAAGCAAGTCTCAGAGACTTCACAAGAAAGAATGCTGAAACCAAAAGAGGGAAGCCAGCAAGCTGCGCACACCCACATGTAGTATAGGGGTTTTTAAATGCTCAAAATGTGACAAACTTTTCTCTACTAGAATTAGTCTCATCAGCCGTAGCAAAAGGAACAAGTCAATATAGGGTTTAATTTTTCTAATTCTTCCGTAGCAAAATCCACAAGTCATTCTAAGCTTTAATATTTCTAATTCTTCTATTTCGTTTAAGAGTCTCCTCTGTGGACTGTTCAAAGTCAGACATTGACGGACGAACTATTATTATTACTCTGGTCACATTCTATATTTCGTAAAATAGTTACTATCTTCAACTTGTCTTTAAAGAATCTTTAAAACAGCTATTTCTTTCCAAAGCAAACCACCCTGCTTTTAAACGGACGTTTAACTAACAAGAACGAAGGAAAATGTTCAGTCCTATGACATGTTTCCATACTTTTCTCCCCAACAAAAATCATTACCTTGAAACTAGTTGTAAACCTAATTAAAACCAAAGAAACATCTTCACTACTATAACATGATTCTATAAATGTCATTCGAGCAGGAACCAACATTCTAAAAATTAAAGATGACAATATATTATATTTTAGCGTATCGCCTCTGTCTGTTTTATCTGTTATTTTTTCCCCCTCATTCTTCCTTCTCAAGGTTCTTCCCTTACTTAGTTTGATTTATCCTTTCTTTCCACCCCCCCTCCCAAAAGCAAGAACCACCAAGATGAAAGTCGCCATTGTTCTTCTAGCCTGTGTGGCTGCAGCTTTTGCCCAGCATCATAATGGAGGGATGGGTAAGTGTTCATGGTACTTCCCTACCTTAGAGTTACAAAGTTCTATCTGACACGTTTGGTCGTTTTCAGTAAATAATATTCTATCTGATCTATCAAAATCGTAAGATTATTCGGAGTTATCAAGATATTCAAAGAACTACTTTCGAAAAAAGCTAGACACGTTGTAAAACTAGGAATTTTTAACACCAAATTTCTCAAAACTAGGTTTTGAGAAGATAGAACTTTGTAATTCTATGGTAGCGGACTATACAGTCTCTTTATAAAAAAATATTTCTTTAAAGAAAATCACTCATATAGACAGCAATGAGCACGAGACAAGGAGAATAACCAGCAACGCAAGCGACAGTCGCTCTTATTCTCATGCTCCACGTGTGACGTAACTGGCAGAAAATCGAAATGCCTTATCTCTTTGCCCTGTTACTTAATTCATCACGGCTTCGCCATTCTGTGATGGCCGATGATAAGGACGCCACCGTAAACCTCTGAGATACATAATTTTGGTTCAAGGTTCTGACTTGACGTATTATTTCTATGCTGGCGCTACCCACACTTATGACTGAACATTGTCTACCAACTAAGATGAACTTGTCCATCGTGCTGAACTTTGTATTGTCTCAGTGAAGAACTGGATGAACAAAAACAAATTGATTGATGTCAACAGATGATAAAACAGACGCCATTCTGGAAAGCAGTGCAAAGTTTATTGATGAATTTAACAACGATCAGACGAAAATTGGTGATGTGGGAACTGCATTTTCAAGAAAAGTTACTCAAATGTTGGCATCTAATTTGATTCCAAATTGTCAACGTGGGCTTAAATAAACCATCTTATCAGATGCAGTATTTAGAGATAAGAAATGTAAGTAAAATATTATGTTAACAAATCAATATTAAGTATACTTCTTTATCAGTGAATAGCCTAGTTTTATCAAGACTTAATTATTATAACTCTTTGTCGTCATGAATGCCACTGGAGAAAATGAAAAGACTTCACTTCAAATGTTCAAAACAATGCTGCGTGCTTTCAAGTTTACTGGGGATAAAGCGAGACTCTGCTACACATCTCTTACGGACCCTAATGGCTTATTATTATTATTATTATTATTA